TAGTGCAGAGTATTTATTCCTACTTCTGGGGAGCAGGGATTAGTTACAAATAACTCGGTTTCTGTCAAGAGATTTCCACACTCTTAAGAACCCTTGGGCATCTGTCAAGGCCTGCACCTCAGTAGGAGACACAGACAATCCTTGGGACCTCCCTCTGTTACCCCTGCTTGCCTGGCGCTGAGAGGAACTAAACTCCCAGTTCGAAAATGTTGAAGCAAGCTGTCTAGTTGATCATAATCCTATGTCATTATCACAACATTTCCAAGTGATTTAAAAGCCCTTCCTACCAAAATAACCAGAAAATGTAAAGTCACATGGTAAATATCGCATTTGTTGGTCCTGCCACTCTCGAGTGGCCAGGTGGATGAATACATGGGGCACAGCTTTTTCTGTAAGAGTATCTCATCTGCAGAACTCCCTTACAAGATTGATTTTCTCAAAGGCAGTTGGTCTTATTCTGTTGCTCTTTTAAAATTGCTTTTAGCTTGTTTTATTTTTCCTTCCTTCCTTCCCTCCGCCCCTTCCTTCCTTCCTTCCTTCCTTCCTTCCTTCCTTCCTTCCTTCCTTCCTTCCTTCCTTCCTTCCTTACTTACTTACTTACTTACTTATTTACTTACTTACTTACTTACTTACTTACATCATTTTAGGAACTCTTTTTGGTAGAAAAGCAATTTCTATTCTAATAAACCCATCCAGGCACAGATTTTTCTCTTGACAACAAACGCTCCTTCTCTCTTCACAAAAGTTGTCTTACCCCCTGTATTCTTTTGAAAAATCATTTTCTTCCCAAAACCCTTTCTTTAATTATTGATAATTCACCCACAACCAATTCATCTATTTCCAGTCTAGTCGCCCTTTTATGACAGAACACTCCATCTTCCAGTTCCTGACTACAAAGCAGAATGACCTGCTCTTCAGGGAAAGCTGTCTGTGCAATCAAATCTGGGTGTGAGCTGCCAATCTTACTTATGTCAGCACCCATCGCTCCCCTAGAGCAGTGATTCTTGATGCAGAAACACAGAAGTTTAGATTCATTAAAAATGAATAATGATGATTATCAGCATTCTCTCGATGAGGTCACATAACCCTTATTTATGAAGGGGAGGGGGGAGAAGACCTGAGCTGTCAGATGTCTGGGGAGACGTCACCACTATGGCTTTGACTAGAGCAAGGGCCGGGCGATTCATGCTTCCTCAGATTTCATTGGACAGTACCACCTCCATATTCCCAGTTAGGATAAATAATTCCAGATTTATGCACAAGTTAATCAAAGTATTATTAGGCCTTACTTTTATTACGAGGGGCCTCTGAATTTTTAGGAAATTGCAAATAAATAAAACAACTCAAGCTCAAATCCATCCAGAACTAGAAAAAAAATTTTTTTAATACAATGGGGCCTTTTAAACTTTATCTTTTTGGGAGCTATGGCACGTTCTAACCCACTATTTATGGTTTTGTTTTCTCATAGCTCAGAAAAATATTTTCATCACTGTAAAAATAATACATAGTTCTCTTTGTCCGATATAACCTGAAATATCCTCAAAATACCTCAGAACATGTCCCTGATCTTTTGGGTTTCAGTGTTTAGGGGGAAACTGAAAGGACTCTGTCCTTTTATTCACACATAGTGCTCAATTGGGTGCCATTCCCACTCATCACTGGAGGGGATAGTCCATGTCATGTTTGGATTAAGTGCTCAAATGTAGTACAAGGCAACCTGACACAGCTCTGACCCCCTTTTCAGGACAACACCGTATGGAATCTGGCTCATATAACTGCGAGCTCAAAATGCCAGGCTTGCTGGGGGGGGGGGTTCACTCTGACAGCTCGCCAGCGACCATTCAAAAATACTTCTCATTTGTAAAGAGGCAGCTGTCTCCATTCCCAGGTTCATGTCTATCTGAATACTGCTGGCCAAGCAAGTCAAGCTGTTCCTCTCTGGGCTCTGACCTGTGCCCTATTTTCTGACTGCCACTTGGCACCAGGGAACTCTTCCAACAGTGACATATTGGGTGTGACCTCTGACCCCTTTATTTGGAGCTCATCCTGTGTTTGGGACCGAAGGCTTGCTGGGCTGATTTAGAATAAGGGGACAGAGATGAAAACCCAAGTAGAAAGCCCCGTCGCTTTCCTGCAGTGGCTTCTCAGATTCAAAATTTCCCTCCCAGAGCCCCCCAGTGCTCCCGACAGAAAACAACATTCCCAGCAAATGCCTGCTCCTAAAAACCTTTGGAGTGGCAACAGTGCAGTTTCTCTGTCCTTTGCTCACCCATCCAGGAGTTTTCATGAATCCAGAAATAGGCTTAGAATAATCTTAGAACTGCAGAGCTGGAAGGGATCTTATGGATCATGGAACCCAACCCTTGTCAAGGAGGCACAGTCTAGTTTTGATTTTTGTCACTTCTACCCAATTACAGCGCTATTGTGGAGTGCAGTGAGTTTTGAGTTCAGAAAATTGTCCTAGGATTCTCCAGAGCTTGCCACATTGGTACACAGACACCTGCACATTTATTATTACAAATATAGTTTAAAATCTAGTTTTATTCTCATGGATATCCAGTGCTTTACAACATTATTGAAACTGTCATACAATATACAAAACAAAGCAAAAAAAAAAAAAAAGCCAGCATTGTCACAGGTGCTGGTAGTAGCCTTAACATCAGTGGGCTCAACCTTTTCCATCTGGTTTACATCACCCTACCACCTTGGAGCCTGATGAAGCTACTGGGTGGAAAGGGGCAAGCATTCCGCATCTAGCTCACCTTACTCTGCTTATGTAGAGAGAATCTGAGTGATATGATTTCGACGCAAATGCAGGACTTGGACAATGACTGGTAATGTTTACCTCCCAAAATGAAATATAAGGAAGGTACTGAGAAATACCACTGTGTAATAACAAATACCTATCATAAGCTGTTGATCAATAACTGAAAACAAGTAAATATGTATATGAAACAAAGTCCGAATTGGAAGCAGCCAAATATTAATGAAGCTCAAAGTGGGGCCAAAAGGGGTGCTACTACACTATGTGTTTTATATTACAGAGTTTTCCTCAGATTTTAAAAGCTGCTACAGAAACAAAGAAATTTGGGTTACAGGAGAGAATAATCCACACAGCAGATCAAATGATTTTAACCTACAATTCTAATTGTTTTATTATGTGCAGGCATATGTTCTCACACGTGGGCTACCCTTGAAGTATCATATAGCATAACAACTAAGATAGATGGGGGTGTTTTTAAAGCTATGGGGTTTGGACTATGCTATGATGTTAAAGTTGTAGATGCAGAAGAGAAAATTCAGTGCAAATTATTTTACCTATGGGTTTAAATGAAAAGGAAAAAAAGAGAAAGATACACGAGTTTTTAAACATAGTTTAGTCTATTTGATCTTGTGAATCATCTTTATGTTTCCATGCATGAGTTTTCTACTCTTTCATCCAAAAGGAGATTTATTTGGGACTTTACCATTTGGATTATTTCACAGAATTTGTAAATTTGTAATCCAGATTAATATAAACAGAGTACTACATGGCACTGGCAGCTCCAAGTTAGTATAAAGAAATGTCTCTACAGACATAGTTGTGCCAGCTGAGCTCTGTTCTTGGCAAAGCCAGAAAAGATATTTATTCTTTCATACTCATGTTCTGGATATGAGATGTTGTAAGTACTCAACTTTGACTTGTTAGCTTTCACTATCTAAGCGGTAGTATCTTACTGCAAATATGTTCTGTTTACCTTTCTGCTTACCATTGCTTCAAACATACTTACATACTGTACCTGTATCTCAGTATATATAAAGTGATTATGAATGTTTGTAGATCACATGGCTATTTTTTGTGTGTGTGTTTTGCACTACTGGAATGAGCACACAAGGATCAGCTATTTGGGGCAGGATCCATTATCAGAGGAAGGTATTTTTCCACAAGAATGGCACCTCAGTGAAGACTCAATCTCATCCAACCACTAGACTGCGAATTAGCCTTTATTACATTTTAGTCAGTTATTTTTCTACTCTAAGGCAAAGCAGAAGCTGCCTATGTGGTTCATTAAGGAAATGGACAGATCCACAGAAGTAGGGACATGTTCTACAAAGCAGGAAGTGTGGAGAACAGAAAATTTGTATTTTGACACGTTTCTTTTACACTAAGGCCAATATCCTACTGAGGGTCCTGGAAACAAAAAAACCTGACAGTGCAGGAACACAGGACTGAGGAGCTTGCAGAACTGTTGCCATTCTGCAACAAGCTGAGAGGATTTCTTCTTAGGATCATGAGATGGCCAACCATTACGCGCACTGAAACAGGAGCGAAATCGGGACTGAAAAACCAACCCACCTAAAACCCTCTCTGAAGGTCCCCTGAGCAACAGTTTGGGAGGCACGCAGGTCCCCTGGAAGAGGGGCGCGCCATTACGACGGCCTTGCACCCTCGTCCCTTGTGAACTGGAGGGGGCGGTGTGGGGGCCACTTTTGTTTTCTCCACTCCTCCTCTTTTCCTCAGAAAGACGGAAGGAGAGGGGGGCCGTTCACTTTTTGTTTTGCTCGTACACTGGCGAAGGCAGGCTGGGGCGAAGCCTGCCGCAACTTCCTGGAAGGAGGCACACCCCTCGCAGGCCCCTCTGTGGCTGCCACCCAAAATGGGGCAATCGCGTGTGGAGCAAAGACGCGAAAGGACACACCACCGCCTCATGCACAACACGACTCCGCTCGGCCTCGAGGCGCGCGCCGCCGGGCGGGGCCCCCCGAAGAAGAACCCGCGTTGTTGTTGCTGGGGCGGGGGCGGTGATGTCACACCCCGGCCGCCCAATCCCGAGCGAGCCATCTCCTTCTGGCCACGCCTCCTTCCAACACCCCCTCTTCTTCTCCCCCTCTCCCCGTCTGGGCATTCCCTGTCTGGCCGCCACTGCTCGCGGAGTCACTGATTGACAGGCAGGCAGCTACCCCGCCCTTCCTTGGCCTCCCCCGGGCCCAGCCTGGCTCCGCCTTGCGCTCTCTCCTCGCGCCGACCTTTCCCCTAGTTTCCAGAGGGCGGTTCGTCAGCGGCCGCCGCCGCCGCCACGGAACGTGCCCACGAGGGGCCTTTCCTGCTCGCAGCCTAGCTGCACGAGGCCATCACGCCGCCCGAGGGAGCTCATTGGCCGGCGAAGGGGCAGCTCGCGCTGTGATTGGCGAGGCGCTTCCCCCCCTCTCCCCGTTTTCCTCTTTCGCTCTCTCTCCGCCTCCTCCTCCTCCTCCCGGCTCTCTTCCTCCCCTTCCAGCTGCTTTTGCTGGATGGAGTGTTTTGGTGTGTTTCCCTCGGTATTTGGGCTGCTCGCCTCCCTGGAAGGAGGAGGAGGAGGAGGAGGGAGGGGGGGCAGGAGGCGGCGCTGGGGATCGCTCGGGCTGGCTTTGTCACATCGCGGCTGCCTGCGGGAGCTTCCACCACCATGCCCAGCTCGCCTGGCGCCCAGGAGATGGGAGATGCCCCTACGGTGAGTCCCCCCCCTTCCGCTGGCTGCCCGGGGAGGCTGGCCGCCCGGGCGCCGGGAAGCGCCGAGCAGCGATCCCGGCGCCTGTCATCTCCTGCGGCGGGACTGGAT